AAAGGATGTTCTTTTGCAAATCAGCTGGCTGGCACGCCTGTTGAAGGACATGTTTTCACAGAGCCTACTTTTGACTTGTCAGGCAGTCTACTGGATAGATAATTCAGAACAGATCATCAAAACATCACTTCTGCTTAGTGCTAAACGAGGGAAAGTGGCATGTGCAGAGGGAGCCATGAGATCACCTACAAAGTGGATAATTAAGAATGAGCTCTAATAAGAACTTGCATAATCACCATGCAAGCAGTGGCCACCTGGCTCCCTTGGATCTGAAAGCTCAAAGTGGCAAAGAGAGCCCACTTTAGCCTTTCGAACAGACCCCCTGACAGCCTCCATCCCTCTTGTCTGTGATGCTGAACCATTCAAGCAAAACCTGGTTTGGGCTCTCAGGCCTGGGATTTGCCGCTTCCTCTGCTGGCCGCCAGCAGGGGCTGGGCTGAGGACATAACTTCTTGCAGATGGTTGGAGGAGCTCCAGTTTGTCAGCCAGCTGACTGTTACAAAGGAGGACTATAATTTTCCTCCTTGGTCCAAACTAGAGGACAGAGCGCACAACAATTAGCGGCTAATCAGAGGGCATGCTCGACACCACCACCACCATTTCCCCCACTGCCAAAAAGAGAAAAGAAGAAGGATTCCCCCTCCCAGGGCACTTTCTACAGTTGCCATAGAAAAGCTTTTAGATGACTGCAAATTGCACATTACCCCACAGCTGGGGTACCAGGAAGGTGGGTCATAGCAGGGAACACAGAAGACAAAGTCTAGTTGCTGCTGTTGCTGCTCAGGGACAACCTCTGGATCGTTAGAGTCCTGCCTTGAAAGTGACCCATTTCAGTGGCCATCCTGGGGGAGATTGGCTTGACCTTCTACCGAGTGCCTGCACATGTTGAGGCTCCCTTGATGCTGAAGAGGGAGAGGTTCATAAAACCACTCTGAAATAATCTGAATACGCCAGAAGAAGGCCTTTCTAGTGGAACACACACGGGAACTAGAGTCAAGCAGGCCTCTGTACAGCTGAAACCTGTAACTTGGTAGGAACAGCTGTGGGCCAATGGGAGCATCCTCACCCTCCATGTTCAAGACCCAGGTTCAATTCCCAGCCAGTGCCCCTCACGCACAGCCACAACCCATCTGTCAGGGAAAGCTAGTGCCGTTATGCTGTTGAACACGTTTCTGCCAAGTTTCCAGGCAGAGGTAGACTAGGAAGAAAGACCTGATGAACAACTTGTGAAAAAAAAAAAAAAAAAAAACCAGTTAAGGGAAGCTGCATGAATTTCAACTGTCCAATCTCACAGTACATGGGGTCGCCATGAGTCTGGGGCCACTCCAGCGCCGCTACCACTTGTTGGGTGACCTCAGATAAGTTGCTCAGCCTCCCTGAGGCCAATTGCTTCATTACCAACATGCATGTCAGAATCATGACTACTTAAAACAAGATTCCTTGGTGACCTAGTTCAACCTTACGCGTTGAACTGTGGACCACCAGGTCGGCGATTCAAAATGACCAGCGGCTCTCAGAGAGAAAGATGAGACTTTCTACTCCTATAAAGAAGTACAGTTTCAGAAACCCGCAGGAACAGTTCTGCCCTGTCTTATAGGGTTGTTATGAATCTGGGTCGGCTCAATGGCAGTGAGTGTCTTTGTCTGTTATTGTTTGGAAGTAGGTGAAATGCCCACAGTCCCTGGCACCCACAGAATACACAGTCAGTAGCAATGGCTCAAATAACTCCCAGGTTGCTTAAAACACCCCATTTCCTGGACATGACTCAGTGCCTTCCCAGAGGTGCATAAATGCACTGCCTGTGGAAAGCATTCATGTTTTCTCCTCAAGTGCTGCACAGGGCTCTGCAGAAACTGTTGTTTATCCTCCACCAAAGAGAAGAAGCTGAGGAAAGGGGGAGGGGCATATCGTTTTTCCACGTCACAGATAGAAACTGTGAAACCTAGAAGTAGAAGACTTGCCTTGTGACACATAAAGCCAGCATCAGAGCTATTGCCCCTCTGGCACCCCCACCCTCACCTCTATGCAAAGCAGCTATACTCACCCCCCAAGAGTGAGGGGTCAGCTGCTCTCTTCTGAGGTTTAATACCATCCATCTCTTTTCCCCCAGTTTCTATAGTTGATGGTCCTGAGACTCTCTGACGCTTTGAGGAAATCACATGGGTGATTTGACCTTAAATCTCATACCACTGACAGAAGATTAATTGCTAAGACCTGGAAAGGGGCCAGGCAATTCTGGGCGGCTGAATAACAGCACCGTCTATGGAGGAGACTGTCCTGACAGATTTAGTCAGTACAGAATTGATAAAGCTAGAGTTTGTATAGCTCGCTTCCCAGCTAGATAAGGCAACAGGCTCTGAGAGCTGACCTTTACAGAATTCTTACCAGTATTTTGTAGCACTGAATCTATGGATTCTACCCTCTTGCCAGTAATTGCTCATTTTCTAAAGGCTCTGTTCTCAGAAGGCAAAAGATGAAGGAAGCTGACCAGAGCGCCCCCTTGCCCCATAGGAGCAAGGAGGCTCATCCGCTTGGCACAGTGCACTTGACTGGTCCCGGGGTCTTATCAACCCCAAATCCAATGTGCGTGGGAAAACTCCTGGGCTTCCTAGGCTGCTCGTGCTCTACTACCCACCCACATGTTCACAGGAACTCACGCAGTGGTGCCGCTGCAGAAAGACTTGGCGATCATCTTCTATTAAGCGGAGAACCAACTGGATGGAGCCGTTCTACTCTGAGGTGTCTGGGGTCACCATAGCCGGGACCCATCCAGGGGGACTGGGGTTTGTGGATCGAGGTCCCTGGTGTGGCTGTGCAGTGCTGTGGCGTCTGTGCTGACTCAGCGCAGGCGTAGGGGCAACAGACGGAAACGCCGTCTCGTCCGTCCTTCACCGTCCTCACAATGGTCCCTGACGTTGGAACCCTTTGCGGTAGTCGCTCTCGTCCCTCCTTCTGGTTGAAGGCCTTCCCCTTTTCCACGCCTCTTCCCCTTAACTAAGGTGACCAGATTTAAAGCGGGACACCATTGGCAGGGGTGTGTGTGTGTGTGTGTGTGTGTGTGTGTGTGGTGTTCTTGATTAAAAATTTGGTCTATATGGACCAAATAGACCGTTCCCTAGCTTGTGCATTCTTTCCAAAAATCGGGACTTTTTAAAAATGCCAAAAAGCGGGACTGTCCCACCAAAAGAGGGGCGTCTGGTCACCTTGCCTTAAGCAAACACGCTGTCCTTCTCTGGGGATTTCTGTCCTCTGACAGCATGTCCAAAGTATACGAGACAAAGTTTCGAAATCCGAACTTCTAAGGAGCATTCTGGCTGTATTTCTTCCAAGACAGATTTGTTTCTTTTGACAGTCCATGATATGTTCAAGATTCTTAGCCAGCACCACAATTCAAATGCATCGATTCTTGCGTAAACCACACAAGATGTCCAACCTCTTCAATGTCCAACTTTCGCCTGCATAGGAGGCGATTGAAAATACCCTGGCTTCAGTCAGGTGCACCTTAGTCCTCAAAGTAAGGGGACTGCTTTTCAAGAGGGTGGGTGCAGCAAACTTACCTAATGCAACGCATCATTTGATCTCGTGACCGCTGCTCCCATGAGCATTGATTGTGGATCCAAGTGACAGAAAATCCCTGACAACTTCCATCTTTTCTCCATTTCTCATGATGTTACCATTGATCCCGTCGTGAGGATTTTGGTCTTCTTTACATCGAGTTGTAAGTCATACTGAAGGCTTCGACCCTTGATCTCAGCAGCAAGTGCTTCAAGTCCTCCTCACTTTGAGCAATCAAGATGGTGTCATCTGCATGTCAAAGGTTGTTAATAAGCCTTCCTCCGACCCTGATGCCACAGTTGTGTTCATACAATCGCTGTCTCTGATTACTTGCAGATTGAATAAGTAGGGTGAGTGGATACAATCCACACATAACATCTCTGATTTTGAGGTCAGAGAGGGATTCAATGCCCTCCCGAGCAGTTAGGAACTTTTCACCACCCTCCAAATCCAGGGGAGATCAGAGGCAAACCCAGATCAGAAATCCTGCACCGCTTAACTGTAGTGCAGACACCACAGTTGTGAGACCCAAAGGGCTCCCAGAATCCAGCTCTTCTTTCTGTGGCTTTGGTCACCCAATTCAGACCCACTTCCTTGCTTAATGGAAGGAATCCTTGGTGGATATTTTCCACTGTCATATTATTCAAAAAGTTCAGTTTCTTGCAAGGCTTGGTTATCTTTCATTTTTGCTCCCAAATTTTAGGTTTCAATTCAGGAGGCATGCTGGAGTGCCTGATCAAAAGACACCCAGTGTCCTCTACTGTTGCCACTTCCAGCCACGTAGCATCTGACTCCAGCGTGTGTGACTTCCAGGGCACATGAGCTCCTGTGCACAGCTACGGTTGGTGTTTGGTATTGGTTTTCTGCCAGCAATGAGTACGATGGGATCAACAGCCTCCTGGAGGCACCGGCCACTCTGAGGGGAGAAAGACGTGGCAGTCTGCTTCCATGCCACCTGGGGTACCTTGCAGGCCAATTCTATATGTCCTGCTGAGTCACCATGAGCAGGAATGGACTTAAGAGCAACACATCGTTATTCCTGCAAAGACAAACTAGTGACTCCGCGGATGAGAACTTAACACATTCCACCGCCTTTCTGCGCTCCTCCTTCGGACCTCCTGAGTGGAATTGACTACAATCACTCATAAAAATCTTCTCATTCCTCATCCTTGGAATGTGGGTCTCACAAGCGCTGGACATGTGCTCTCAGGGGAGGCAAGTCCCCACGTATCAGGTCAGCGAGAAGAAGGAAGATGTGCAGCAGGGCGGATGGACATGGTGACTGCAGCAAGGGACTCGCACCTGCCCCCGATGCTCTGTGTACACAGGGAGGGTCTCTGTAACAGCATGCCCTGTTTTTCACGTTAAGACAGTTAGAGGATGGTTCCTAACAACAAGGTTGCTCTGAGTTCAGGAAGCGTCTTGTTTTCTCCCTCTTTGGGCAGATGAATTGGAGAAGCTGGAGCAGGAGCGGTTGGCCCTGGAGGCTGCCATCAAGGATAATGAGTGTGCAGAGGGCGGCGGAGGCCTCCGGGGCTTGTTTAAGAAGGCTGGCAAGTTGAACATCACTAAGGCAGCGTCTAAGAAAGGTAAGTCGATAGACACTCCTACAGGATGACAAGATGAGCCACCCCTTGGGCAGCGTTAGAGGTCAAAGATTCTATCACGAAATTTCTACCAAGGGGGTGGGTGGAATGTTTTGGAAAAGCAGAGCTTCTAAAGTGAGGGCCTACGAAGAAGAAGCATATATGCAAGACCATTGATGTGGACATGTGGACATTGTTGCGGCGTGTACAGTGGCCCCACACATGTCCATGTCCATAGACACACACTACATATTAGAGGCTGGGAGCATTGGGTGAAGTGAAGGTCGCAATGGCTGTCCTTCATCAGCATCATTAAATATTTTCCCCTTGCTGGTGAAAAACAAGCAAACCACCTTTATTATAAAATAAGAATCTTTGTTTGGGAGACAGAGTGCTGAACAAGAAGCTTCTAGATAAGATGGAAAGGGAATTGAGATTGAAGAGCCAATATCCAGACTGCTTAAGCCCCTCCCCTTTTGGGGGACTGAGTATTGGCTATGAGAGCTAAATCCAATCAGAACCACAAAAACAAAACAACAACAAAGGATTGTCTTCACAAACTAGAATGCAGGAGGTGGAGATGATCATTGTATCTTTCAGGGCTGTGTCACCTACCTCTCATTTTGGGTATGTCCTTGGGGTGAGGACCAAAGAATGGGAAAGCTTTACTTAGTTTTAGTTTTGTTTTTAAGTTCTAGAAACCAGGGGATTCAAGCGTGGGATTCTTTGAAGACTGCTTTCTCTCCACACTGCAGTTTAGAGTTTGACGAGGTGTGCAGTGACCTCTGCCGGTTGAGTATTGCAATGTGAAGACGTGTTTGGTTTTTTTCCGTGCCCAAGTCTATTCTGGTGGGAGGCTGCAGGAAGATTGCTTCTCTGTGAGAGGATCCACGTTGAGACTTAGCAGGTCTCAGGTCTGGGCTGTCAGAGCCATGTAGGAAGCTCAGCACTGGCAAAAGGTTCTAAGTTCTGTTTGCTTGTTGTTCCCGTCTGTAGCCCCTGGATGACATTTCACCTGTAATATAATACTTGATGTATGTATTGGCAGAACGTTCAGGAGATTCCAACATCGCCTCTCTGTGTACCCAGAATATCCCAGGGGCTGCAGGAATATCCACTATTCCCCACGAACCTTAAAGTGATCGTTTCTAGGAAAATGCTTAGTTCTAAAACTGGAAGTACGTTAGGACTCTCAGGAAGTGAAAATTAGAATAAGATTGTTCTGGATGCTAAGCATGGTCCACTTTTCTTTACAGTGGTTTGTTTCACTCATGAGACACATTAAGTAGCCCTGGCACCTGCTCTGTTCAGTGGCATGCTCTGAAAGGGCAATAGGAAACTCCGACGTAAGAGCCCAGTACTATTCTGGTTGGAGGGTAGAGGGGATTCAAGTCTTTTTTCATAAAAGCTGGGATTGCTGCTTATATGCAAAGCCTGTTTCGGCAGCACATTACTGGTTGTGGCAAATGCGTGCATCTCTGAAAGGCAGCACGTTCAGTCAAGCAATCAGGGCCCCCACACTAAAGGAAGAGCGATCACTTTTGAGCTCTAGATCAGGACAAGCCTTGCTCCCGGGCACGCCACAAAGTCATTTAAGTGCGGCCAGAAGCTCACGCATTCTGTCAGTAAGTGTGCTTTCTCTCTCAGTGGTCTGAACACTCTGGGAACAATATAGGATAACTGATTCAGAGCGACAGACTCCCAAACACAGAAAGAGCAAAAGACAGAGCAGCATCTTCAGAACCTCTGAGATCAGAGAGGAGGCTCTCAAGAGGCTGTCAGATCCATTGTAAGCAGCACACTGACACCATCGCTCTGAAAGAGAGCAAGCTCCCAAAGAAATGAGAAATAATGAATACAGTGTGGCCAAGAAGCCCCTATGTAACTAATGTGTATGTAGTAACATACACATTATTTTATGGGCACCCTTAATTCTAACTCAAGTAGTGGCATTTTGTCTTCGCGTGTTTCCTAGCCATTTCCTATCTCCTTTGCAGCAATTCACAGCGGTCAAGCGATTTCCTCTTAGCTTCCTGAGCTTTCTTGAAAGGAAAGCAGAGGAGGAAGTTAGGACAACCTTTGGGCCTAAAGGTCATGGAGCGCAGGATCCTCCACCAACCTTTAGAACACAGATGCTCATGGACTTCATGAGCTCAAGCAGTGAATTCTCGACCAAAGGAAGACCTCAGTCCCTAGGGACACAATTCCCCACAGGTTCTACTTCCAAACACATCTCAGAGAATGAAGTTGATTTAGATGTGACCTTTGGGGAAAGTGGGATATGTTGGCAATGGTTTCAGATAATGTGGCATTGCACCATGCCTGCACAAGAATTCCAAGCTGGGATAAGAGTTGTATGAGCCCCTAATAAAATGATTTTTTTTAAAAAATTCCAAGCTGGGCATAGAGTCCTAGACACCCGAAATCAATCTACCTCTTTGTCATGGAAACTTTCATAAAATATCCAGTCTCGGTTAAAAAAAAATATATACACCCGAAATCAATCTACCTCTTTGTCGTGGAAACTTTCATAAAATATCCAGTCTCGATTAAAAAAATATATATAGATTGAGGGCGAACTAAATCAGGATGAGATTCAAGCTTTTTCTCTCCTTTTCAAAGAACAGAGATGAGTGTTTGTCCCTAAGCGTATATTGAAAAACACATGCTTATAAATTCACAACACGTCCTCTACTGTCATCGATGGATTTATTGGAAAGCCACTTTGTTTCTGTCCTCGAAAGGCAAATAGATGCATCGCTTTCTCTCTCATTTCAGACAGCAGCATTAACACGATCCAGTCGATGCATGTCGGCGAGTTCAACCAGAAGCTGGTGGAAGCCAGCACCCAGTTTAAAAGGAAGCAAGGGAAAGGCACTATTGATGTCTGGTGGCTGTTTGATGATGGAGGTAAAAAAAAGAAAGAAAAAGAATCAGAACATACACCAGGGAGCTGGACTTCTATGCTGATAAATCTAGCAACCAGCAGGGGAAGGCATCTGAAAATGGTACCAGTTCAAGAACAACATGTCTGTGTTCTCTGAGGTTGTCCGTTATTTAGGAGCTGGGGGGTGGGAGGGGATGAATAAAGATGTCAGGCCATCCAGATCCTTTCCGTTAGAGACTCATCCCTCCTGTTATCATTTACTCTGTCCCAGGGTTGACGCTCCTTATCCCCTACATCTTGACGATCAGGAAGAAATGGAAAGACTGTAAATTAAGAATCTACGTGGGAGGGAAGATCAACCGCATCGAAGAAGAAAAAATTGCGTAAGCAACTTAGCGCGCCTACGCGGCTAGATCCTCCAAGATGCCTGTTACTTCAATGGTCTCTGTAAAGAACTTGGAGATGAAAGAGATTTAAAGACAGAGCTACCGTGACGGGCCTTCCGTCCCTTGGCTCTGTGGTCAATGAATTATCTGTGTCAGTTTTTTTCCTCTAACCACTGGGAATCTAGCACGGAATGCTCTCTGCCGTGTTGAACGAGAGGATTGGGATTGTGTATATAGTGTTTATTTCCTTGTGACCAGTAGGTTTCTCCAAGAGAAGGACCGTCAGAAGACATTCCCTCCCCCCCCCCCCACAGTCCAGCCACGGTAGGTCCCATCAGACATTCCCTCCCCCCCCCACACGCACACGCTTGATGTCTCCCAT